GTTTCCTTAAAATGCTTTAACAATTACATTATGAGTGGAAGAACCGCTAAGACTTTATGTGCCCTACCTAGACATTATTATACTCTCTACAATGTTGAAATTTTCAGAAAGGAGGGGGGAAAACCTAGACAAAATTAAAATAATATTGAAGAAAGGAGAGCCCTTGCTTCTTCATTCTGAGAAAATTACCAGTTTTGCCTCTTCTGCCTCTGCTTACTACTGGTTCCACAGTTGTCATATTCAAGATCGCCTTCACAAACTCTCAGATCCCACAGTCCTGGCACATTCTATCAATTTAGTCACATATTTTTTTCTCTCTCTGCTTCAAGATCACTCATCCAATGTGCCTTCTAGGTATTGGCTCTCCTTTTTCCCACTGTAAACCTGCCCAGATCTGATGTCACTGCTTCCTTTCTTTATTCCCTGAATCATGCAAAGTTTTTCTTCTGGATCATCCCAATTCAGTGTTTCTCAATTTGGGCAACTTTAAGATGCATGGACTCCAGCTCCCAGAATTCCCCAGCTAACATGCCTGGTTAGGGAATTCTGGGAGTTGAAGTCTACTTATCTTAAAGTTGCCAAAACACTGCTCCAATTATTCAATTCCTATTCAGAACCTCCTCTAAAGGTTTAGAAATAATAAAAGGTACACCCCTCTCTTCCTTACATTTTTATTTTGTGTGGTTAGATAGGCTGTATATAAAAACTGGCCTAATGGCTGACCATCTGTGCTGTCCAAGTACTTCTCAAGACACAAAAGAGTGTTCTGGAAAAAAAATCAACAACAGAAAAAGTTCAAAGTTTTCATAAGAGTTCCCAATCATTCATTTTAATTTTAAAAATCGAAGTATTTTTTTAATAATGTGGCCTACCTAAAATGACGTGGCCTACCCTGGTTATAGAACCTACATACTCAAATCCAACATAATGCAAGCTAGTTATTTTAAGTAAGCATTCAGAATTTTCATGGGGCACACACAGAATCATAGCCACCTTGGGAAAGAGGATGTTAGACTTGAGTTTTGATTTGATTCAGCAGACTTCTTATTTTTTTTAACAGTCTGTCTCTATGGGCATGGGCATCTCCAAGAAGTTTCTAAATGTCCTTAATCTTCTATTGTCAATTTGCATTTAAGGTTTATTTAAACTTGTGAAGTTATATTTTAAATATACCCAAAACATTCAGATTCTTTTTTTAAAAAAAAAAAATCCTTTCAATGCAGAATAATCAATCCTGATGAGTTGGACTTCATTTCCAAGCATTCCCAGCCAAAATCCAACATATGTGGATGTGCCACTTAGGGGAAAACTGAGCTAACAAATTCAATAATTAAAATCCTTCAAATGAGTAAGCAGATGTACGAGGTGGAGCTTTCATGTTGCCTTTGCCTAAATAAAGTTATGCCCAATCTAATGACTCAAAGTAAAACAAACAAAACCAAAGAACACTTTATTACTCACAGCTTACTCAAGATGGCTATGGCAGTTATTCTTTTAAAACTAAAGATGTCTTCTTGAGTAACTGGGCTGTAATCCTAATTATACAACAAGTGTTCCCATGCAGCCCTGCTTTCTAATTTATTAGAAAAGCCAAACATAAATATCATTTCTCTCCTGTCTCAGCAATCTGATGAAAAACATTCAATTATATATGTACAAGTTTCAACAGGATACCTTCCTGATTTTGATATAATTCAATTAAATGTTCTATTGACAGAAAAGGAAGTAAACCTTGATAAACAGGCTTTTTCCCCTCCTCCCATAAATGCATACACAATGAAAGAAATAATACCTGCATATTTAATAAAACGCTTATATTTCAGAATGATTTATTCTGGTTTATATTACCTTCATTTTGTTTTATCTGTTGCAGCTTTCAGTGTAGTTCTTGTTCACTCTGCTTGAATATTGAATGTTAAAGTCATATTTCAACTTTTCAATTCTTAAAGGCCATAAAATCCTGGCAAATAGTGTGCAAAAAAAACCCCAATTTCACCAAAATTTCTAAGGGACAGCAGGTCATTCATGATTTTTCTCAGATTCAAAGTGGTATCGAAATGCAGAACTGCCCCCACCCGCCTTAAACTAAAAACAAGAAATGAAATGAGAACTGGAATTCAGGTTGCATCCCTGCCTCTTTTGTTAAGCTAGGGCTGGGCTGCCTGAATCTCACACCCAAGAAATACATCTGGATTTCTGCTAAAGTTATATTTCCTGAAGATCTGAGATGGTCCTTTTTTTTAAAAAAAACCAAACCTTTTTCTACAACAGAAGGAAAGCCTTCCAGCTGCCCTGGAATGATGAGACATCCCATAATTCGCATGGAGATTTACAGATACACATACACTCAAACATATGACACATATTTCTCCTTCCCCTAGATCCTGGAATGCCATCACCCCTTACAACGCTCCCTAAAGCCTTGCCTTCAACAATAACCAAACCAAAGTTGAACACAGAAAAGCAATTACCTTCGGAGTCAGGACTTCTCCAGGCAGATCCCTACATAATCCAACAGGACAGCCCTGTAGCCTCGAGAGCTGGCTTCTTCTCCCACAGAAAGTGAGCCTGGTCTGATTATCCCAGGCGGTAGCTTTTCTCCACCTCCACTTCTTTGGGGGGGGGGGGTTTAGAGGCGGAGGAAAGAGGGAGAGAGGTAGCGCCTTGACAAATCCTTTTTGCCTTTGTTCAGGGTTAGAAGTTGAGCCTGTTCTCTCAGCCTCTTTCACTTCTTGTATTACAGTTACACGGCTGTGTGACGTCTGGTGAGATGAAAAAGGGAAGAAAACAACTGAGTAGAAGGGACGCCTGGCCAGGGAGACTCCTCCTCTCTTTGCCTCACTGCTGCCTCCTCCCTTTTGTCGACTAACACACACATACACACACAGCAACAAGCGGTTGGAAAGGTTGTGTGTGTGGAGAGGGGAGAGAGACAAAAACAGGGGGTGGCCTGCCTTCCTTCCTTCCTTCACAGGTACGGGGGCGGCCCTTACAGCTATAAGCCTAGCTCAAAATAGCTCTTCCATAACCATCTTCTGCCTGATTAGCCTGATTTCTTTGGGCTTTTTCCAGAACACACTCATGGTCTTCTTTGGCATAAAATACAAACTGACACAAACACAAGTGCAACCGATACACACACAGACAAAATCACTCCAGACATGCTTCAGTTTTCCAGTTGCAATACCAGCAAAGCAAAAGGCAACCATTGTTTGCCACTGCTCACTCCCAAAAGCATTTGGACTTTGACCACCTTGTAATTGTTTGAAATAATAAGGGGCAATGCAATTTCATCCAATTATCTGTCCTGAATAAGACCTGATGTGCTTAAAGTTAGACTTACTCCCAGGTAAGGATATAGACGAATGATATTTAGGACTTTCATCCAATGTACTTGAGAAAAATGCAGTTATCTGGAAGTAAGATCCCTCCAACTCAATAGAGCTTATATCTATTACTTTATTATGACCTATTACTTGCTGTTTATGTGTACTCTGTGAGCTTATGAACAGGAGACAAATTCCTTGTGTGACCAATCACAGTTGGCTATTAAATAATTACATTCTATTCTATCTAAGTAGTCCAGAGAATTGACTATAGTTTCAGCTGCCAATTCAATGCATGTAACTTCAAAAAAAGGCAAGAGGGAGTTATTTCAAGTTAAACATGCTGTGAATAGATCTTTGAACCCATCTAACTCCTTTGCTCACTTTTGAGCAAAAACAAAGGAGATATTTTTTTCAGTTGCATGGACAGTCAAGTTTCCTTTTGCATCACAAAAGGGATCAATTTATGCAAGCTGACTCAATATATACTCAGAAGTCTGTACCACCACTTTCAGCAGATTTCCTTTCAAGAGCACAACCACAACTGATTTACAAATAAACACAGAAAGCGAGCTATGCTGTCAAACATGAAGGCAACCAAACATGAAGGCTTTACCCTAAGGTCGACATTACTTTTTCTAAAATACTTTTACTAATTCCATAATATGTAATTGTTAATGTAATCCAGTGCTAGTCAACAAAGGGGACTAGCAACCCAGAAGTTCAAGGAACAAGCCTTCTATTAAATTATTGCTTGCATATACAAAAAGCTGCTGAACAATATTACTGGTACACTTGGCCTCACCCATTGCACACACATTTGCCTGAAATTAAAGAAAAGGCGTATGAGGAAATAGCTTAAAAACAAATCTAATTCCAAAACTATGTAACTGAATAGCTAAATGTTCCTACTGAGGTATTCTGTCCTCTTAAAAGTTAAATATATGGCTGCCAAGTGAGTTAATGAAAAACTCTTTGCTAGTTAACTCATTTAGTGCATCAGCTATGAATTAAAGTATGTGGCACATGGCCAGAGCATAAAGGACTCTCTTTGAACATGCTCAGATTTCTCTCTAACAAGAAATAGTTCTGATCATCTCCAGAGTGAAGTGGGCTGTTGGCTTCAACACAAAAGGTTGCATTTAGTTCTTGAATTGTCCATCCCACCCCTTCATCCCAATGTAGAAGATAAAAAGCCAGCAAAAAATCAAGCATTTCACCTTAAAAACACTGCAACCTCTTTTGCCCCAAACTCTCTATACAGTACATACTAACAGGCAATATGTTCATGATCTAAAGCCAGAAAGTTGTTATAATATTGATATTGGGGAAAACGGATGGAATGACAAAGGGAGGAATTTCTTAAGTAAAAGAACAGGGCCAGATCCATGACAGGCAGAGAGCTTTCCAGCTCTTTAGTTACTGAATGTGCTTATTGTGTGGTAAAGAAATGATCATTATTCATAGCATTCATGGAATATGTTGGCCACTAGTTGTTCTTTTGTGCCAGGACAGTTAGGACTGACGTTTTCTGAAATGAACTTTTCAGTATTTTTTTTTGTCTAAAGTTATGTTTGTGATCATTTAAAAATCTAATCAGTAAAAAAAAAAAGAATCAACAGGATGCTGCATTATCCAGTGGGCTATAGAGGGAGGGGGGGATTGTTACACAGTAGTTTCCTTTGAAAACCATGAAGAAACTCAACCCCCTATTGTGTTATAGATTCAGCGTGATCTTGCCACACATTAAAAAGTCCTTTTATAGCAATGACTCTTAAATGGATATAAATAATCACATTCTTGAAGTTGCAATGGGTGTATTTTTTGGACACTGTCCACTCCTCCCCACCCCCCACCCCAAGTTAAGCAAGTCTGCCACATTGTTCAAACACACCGATAGATCATTCTATACTTCCTCGCCTTCCCCAGATCTCAGCTTGATACTTGAAACCACCACCTTATGACAATTCTATTCACGATCAGAGTTCTGGTTTCAGGACTGAATTTTGGTTGACAGCAGATGGATGGTGTGGGTGGGCGAAGGTATCGTTTACCTATCTAGATTCTGGCGCCTAGCCCAACAAAGGCAGAAGCAGCATGTAGAAAATACAAGGGAAGAGCTCTCCCAGTCTGAATTGTTGGAGTTGCAATGCAAACACAGTAAGAGATGAGGGTTGATGATTGGAGGGGGAGGCTGCCAGTCTTTCCTGGTGGGCAGGACTAAGCTAAACTCGCTACTTTGCATCGTTTCCCCCCCCCCCTTCTTCTTTTCCACTTAATTATCCCCTCTCCCCTCACTTTAAAAAAAAAAGTTTAGGGAAGAAACATCCATGTTCATGGTAGGAGTTGATCTCCTTAACCAATAGCACCAGAGATGGAAAATATTCATAGTTTCAGTAGGAGGTGGGGGGGGGGGGAGGAAAGACTGGTGGCATAGAAAGGAGGCTTTACTGTTCTGTTGAAAGCTTTAACCTTATATTGCTTTCTTCAAATTCAGTATTTTTTTAAAGAGTAGCCCAGTTGGATGATAAAGCCCCTACCTTCCCCTCCATTTCATTTATGAACTCATTAGTCTAATTTCATTATTTAATCATGTGCCAGTCATTGTACTTCCTTAAGAAAGGAGTGGACTGACCTATTTTTGGCAGGAGATAAACGATCATGTTAACAGATGTTAATCTTGTAATCTGTTTTCCTGTAAGCACTTCATATACCCGCCGTTTCAGACATTAAAAACAATATCACGTCACACACACACAGGAGGAATCGACGTTAGGATTCACGACTTCTTTTTCCCCAAATAGGGGAGAGAATTCGCCCAACGCCTTCAAAGACATTAAAGCTTTTTCCTACTTTATAAATGCTGGTTTGTTCTGCCTCAACTCCCACAGGCGGTGATTTGCATTTCAAATTCCACAGGTTAGAATCCCCCCCCCCCCAATTCCCTTTTCTCTGAGATACACACAAACACACACACCCATACAAATATAAACCCAGCCCATGATCGCCAATGTGGATCGAGAAAGAGAGTCAGGTAGCGCATCTAGATTAAATAAGACACCGAGTACAAATCTCCCAGAGGCCACCGCAAAACGTCGGTAGCGGCTATCTCTCCAGTCCAGGCGGCTTGTTTTGGGGAAACCATCGCTCTGCCCAACGGAATAGATGGGACAATACGGACTCCACACGCGACCCTCCCCGGGCGCTGCTGTGAGGGTCACAACGCTTCCAGACCCAAATGCTGGCCGCGGGAAAGCGGGGCGGAGGGGGGGGGGAGAGCGAGGGAAGGAGGGGATAGAGCGGGCGAGGGCAGGGCAGATCCTTCGGCGGCGGAGGACCCACCCAACTACCTACTAGAGACGGGACATCCCGCTGTTGTAACCTTCTGCACCCAGGCCCCTTGCAAAGCCCCAAATCTCCCCCTCCCACGTCGCCTCCCCCCCCTCGGAGCTCCTGCGACTAACTGGACCCGAGCCCGGTAAAGTTTCCGCAACTTTCTCGAAACAGTTTTTTTTTTTCATTCAAATGACGGTTGCAACTCTTATGCTAATTCTGGGTGGAGATGGGAGGGGCGGAGGAAAAGGAGGGACAACAAGTCTGCATTATTTCTCTCTCTCTCTTTTTCCCCCACTAGGCAATCTTCCCTCCCTCCCTCCCTCTTTTTCCCCTCTCTTTCTCTTTCTTTTCCCACTAGGCAATCCTCCCTCCTTCTTTTCTCTCTTTCCCCCCAATAGGCAACCTTCCCTCCTTCTTTTCTCTCTTTTTCCCCACTAGGCAATCCTCCCTCCCTTTTTTATCTCTCTTTTCCCACTAGGCAATCTTCCCTCCCTCCCTCTTTTCTCTCTCTCTCTCTTTCTCTCCCTCCCGTGTTTCAACACCCCTCCGAGCGACAGGACTCATCCGTGGATATCCCTCTTCAAGGTGGCTGTTTGGTGCGTGTGTGTGTTTGTTGTTGTTGTTTTAAATCTCCAGAAGCGGAATACTGTAAAAAACTGCCTTTAAAAAATTAAAAAAACACCCCTCAACTTTCCAAGGGAAACTATGCCCTTCACTTCAGCTGGTGGTTCGATAAACAAAACAAAACCAACAAATGACAAAAAAAAAGTGTCCAGGCGAGGGAGGAGGAGGAGGCTCCCCCGCTCCCGGTCCGCAATCCAGCCCTTTCAGGGGGCCGCTTCTTCCCAGCCTCCAAAGGCTTGCAAAAAAGAAAAAAAAGAAAAAATAGTAGTCCACCTACCTTGGACGCGGGGGATTTAATGTTAAAAAGGACGAGCCGAGAGCTCGCCTTCCCGGCCCTTCTCGGTGGAGAACATTTGACTTGACGGCACCTCCTTCTCCCTCCCCACCCTTCCCACCCCGCCCGCGCCTTTCACAAAGTGTACAAAGCTGAAAGCTTCCCATCGTTCAGAGATCGGGACGAGACCGAGCCCAGCCGCCTCCTCCCCCCCCCTAGCCAAA